CCCCAAAACCCCAAAACCCCAAAACCCCAAAACCCCAATAATAAAACTTTAAATTGAACTATAAAATATTGTAAAATTTGTTTGAAATACCTATGAGTAAAGACCAAGAGAACCAGCCTCCTAAGAATGAAGCTGAAAAACATGATGAAATAGCAGTCCCTCAGGAATCCAAGAATGAAGTAGGCCAGGATGATATAGATGAACCATCCAAGCCTAATATCCAACAAGATCAGGAAGACAAATAAAAATAATGAAAATGAAATCCCTGTTGAAAATGACAACAAAATTAAACATGACCCTCCTACATACCATTATGAGAAGATTCCTTTAAAACCGAAAATTGCTAAAGAAAAATCTAAGCCTAAAGGGAAAGGTAAACCAATAATTGCTTCAAGTATTTATCAAGCTAAAAATAATCCAACTCTTGGTCGTAACAAAGCTAAGTCTAAGAGAAGTGATATAAACAAGAGTAACAAAAGTAATATCTCTAAAAAGAAAGGGAGCACTGCATCTAAAGCATCTAAAACTTCAAAAAAATCTGAAGCCCAAAAGCAGCCTCCTACTCCTTCTCAAGTAATTTATATTAATATTTCTAGGACCAGCAGCCTGGAGAGATGCCACAAGAAAATCATGAAGAGGAAAGTGAGCGCCAAGAGCAGCTAGATGAGCCAAAATCACAAATAAATGAAGTTATGCACAGCACGTTTCTTAACAACAACGAACAAATTATTGCAGACCTCGCAAATCTAGAGATACACCAAGAAAGACAAATTTTTAGGATAATTTTTGATACTTTCAAAGCAAACCCAGGAGTAGTAGAGTTTGATGACCTTACTGTCCTCGGAAAGGCTCTTGGCAAAGAAAAAGATGAAGTAGATGATCTATGCCACCAGATTCATGATAACTTTGAAGGGTTCCTAGATTTCAGCCAATTCTGAGAACTTCTTCCTAACCTAGACCCTTCGTTTAAACCTAAAGAACCTCAGGAACAACTTTCTGAAGGAGGTCTAGAGGAAGAAAAGAAATTGGAGGAAGTAGTTGTAAACAAGCAAAATCCTGACTTCGAAAATATTGAAAATGAAGGAAAACAAGAAATTAATCAGGATATCCCACCTCAAGAAATTCCTCAACAGCCCGGCTCCGAAATTGATAAGAAAGCTGAAGCCAAAATCCAGAACTTACAGCCTACAGAATTAGGTGAATACAAAGATAATGCAATTGTTCCTAGTAACGGGGTTGCCCTCACACCTGACTCTAGAGTGATTAAGCTGATTAAGCAGTTAAATACTTACTTTAGAAATTGTGAGAAACAGAAAGAATTTGGAGAAGCAAAAATTGTTAAGAAAAAGTTAGAAACTTTGAAAAAGAAAGAGCTTAAAAGACAAAAAGATTACCTGAGAGCTAACCAAGAGAAAGAGTTGATATCAATAGAGAATAGCCAGAAGATTCAATTCTTTGAGTTCTCTCAAGCATGGGACACCTTCATGGCTGATTACGAATCTACAGCTTATCTCAGCCTGGAAAAATTGAAAGAGAGACATTCTAAAGAAATGGCAGAGCTTCAGAAAGATCTTGCTGATAAACTCAACAAAAACTTAAAATTCTCCAAAAAGGTATATGACCTTAGAAGAAGAGTTGAGGCTCTTATCAACATGAGAAATTACGAAGAAGCTGATAAGTACAAAATGTTTCTAATCAAGTTGGAAAATGAAGAAAGAGTAAAAAAAAGCAAGGAACTAAGGAAGGACACATTAAAGAAAGAGAAGAAGCTTAAAAACCTCCATCAGCAACAAATGGCAGCTCTACTTAAGAGAATCCAAAGAGATAGAAATGAGCAGCTCAAGCACAGACAAAAGGGTAAGATAAAGTGCTTATTATTTAGACTCTCAGAAATTAATCCAAAGGAATAGGAATATCTTAGTTGATTTATTGAACAAGCAAAGTACTGAAGCCAGAAGAACAAGTCAGTTTGTCCAATACACCTTAGGATCAACTGATGAAGGACCTAAGAAATATTACCAAGCAAAGATTCATTATGCTCCTTTTGTGCATAAGTACAAACATTGTCAGACCTTAAATGCTAGTAAGGGTGCTAAGAAAGCGTCTAAGACGACCACGAATTGGAATAAGACTCCTAAAGCCAAAGATACCTTAGAAGAGCCAGGCTCTATCTCAGGTACAGACCCAGAAGCAGAAGGAGATGAGGAAGCAATCAAATTGCCTTTACTCAAGTAATTAACATAAAATTTCAATTTATTGCTTTGGAATTGGGGTTTTGGGGTTTTGGGGTTTTGGGG